AGTGCTCTGCCATTGGGTTGCTGCTCTCAGACTTTCTCAAGTGGACAGGGTTAGAAAATATGTGTACTTATACATCTGCATGCAGTTTACATCTGTACTTTATTTATTCATCCATCCATCTGTCCACCTATCCACGTATATATTGAAATCCATGAGTTTGCATTGACAATTCCATTTCAAATCCAGCACCATGTGATTCACTCTAGTTTATTTCCCTTTCCTTTTTTTTTTTTCTTTAACACTGAGAAACTGGACTCTCATTATTCTTAATATATTCATTTAATTTGCTCAATCCTTCTGTAATCAAACTCCTGTCACCATAACTTCCCTCTCTTTTATGGACACCCTTTTCGTATATCGTGGGCTCCATCTCTCCGTGCTGGACTTGTTCATCAACGTGGATACCCTTTTCATCATTCTTGGCTTCTGATTTTCTGTTCTGGCTGCCCTGCCTTGTAGAACCTTCTTCACCTTCCCTCAACAGCTTGAGTTAAGCATTCTCTTCATAGAACCACTGTTCTTAGATTGTGACATCCTCCCCCAGACTGCCCCTCCATGTGGATGTCCATCTTAGTCTACAAAGGCTTAGTCAGGACAGTGTGACTCCCCATCCCCCAACGCCCCTGTCCCCTCTCCCACAGATTCCTGGTTTCTTTTCCCACTGCCAATTTCTTTTGGACTTTATTCAGGAAATGAAGAGAAGGTAGAAGGAAAGGGTAGAAAAGTAAATAATAAAACACTTTGCAAATACATTATAAAGCTGCACGTTAACTCCTACTTTATGTTCTAATACATATGTATTTATAACTCATTATTCATTGAGCTGTGAAATAATAATGATAATGAGGACTATTAATGAAAACATAACATGGCTTCTAGATTCTAAAATGTAGTGCTGTTTTTCAACAAGTAGTTATTGACCTCTTATTAGGCACATGAGTGATAATTAAAACATAAAGTATAGATTAAATATAATTTCTGCCCTTAAGGAGCTTGACATCCTTAACACCTAACAGTGAAATGATATGCAGAAGTTATTTTGCATATCAATATATTTTATAATACAGGTCAGCTAATATTGGAACTTTTCCTACTATCTAAAATAGTGAAAAGTCATATGATAATGAGAAGCAAAGATGATTGGGTTTTTAATCTAGTTTTTATTCAACAGTTTGTACACATAGGTCAGACTATCACAGTATGGCGATATATAAAATGCGTATTTTTTGCACATTACTGGAAAGATATTTAACTACACATTTTTTCTCTTTCTGTTTATTGTCAATTAATTGCCAGCCACTAATGATACACATGAATATAGTGTTATCCAGGGTTAGAGTACTTATTTCTAGTTGATGATGAAGTGACTGGAAACTTCCAGCTTTTTCTCAATGTTTTATTACATTCCTGGTAATACTTTTGGTCTTTCATCATTATTAATTCATTTAGTATTCATTGTGATAATGCTGATCATAATAAATTTATTTCAAATTCATGTAGATGTCATATTTTATTCACTGCTATAGGATTTTCATTGTAATTTGGAACTAATTAATATACCATTAAAATAAAGTGTTACCCACATTTTTCATTTTAAACATAAAAAGTCTAGCAGTTCATGACATATTGTATGAGTATTCAGCATCCCAGTGGTAACCCAAGTATCTGTAAATTTCATTTTTAAGCAGTTAAAAGAAAAGCAACAGAAAAATGTGTATAGAAGTCAAATTACAGAATATAAGTTAAAACTTAGCAGTATGTTCACTACTATATTTTTAATATTTCTCTTTAATTAATATGTATGTTTTTTGTTAGTATGATATAATATCTGTGCTTATATTTAAATGCGTTAGTATCTATAACTCCAAAAGAAATAATTTAATCTTCTTCCTGACTATGTATTACATACTAGCATTATTACCAGGAGAGATTAGAAAACAAAACAGATCATATGATTGCTTATTTTCTGCCTTTCTAATGACAATTATAAGTAAAGGGTAGGATCAAACTATACATTAGTTACAAAGAAGTATTATGAAGTAATCAATTTTTTTTCCTACCTGTTTTGCAAAGGTAGTCACCTGTTGATTGTTGGTGAGGAAGGAAAGACAAGTACTTTCAGTAATTTAAATAAAGTATATAAAAAAGAAGGAAAACAGACTTGCAATCATATTAAATGTTAATGGTTAAAAAGGTTAAGTAACCATAAGAAATAACCATCATCCTGAGTCCTCCTTCACATAAGCTTTCCTTCTTCCCAGTCTATCATCTCTGAATTGCCGACTCTACTAGACGTTGTGTTGCTGGATCTTCTCTATTTTTGCCACAAATGACATTTTATATCCTGCACCGTCACATACTCTTATTTATTGGCTAGGATAAGATTAGAAAAGAAAAACAAATTATTGTCTCCAACCCCTCAACTCCTTGAAATACCGACGTTTTTTTCATGACTTCTTCACAGCATTTGACACTACTCAGTCACGGTCTTCCTTCCTCATACCTTCCCATTAACTTCTGTAACTCTGCAAAATACTTGTCTCTTATAACCGGGCCTCATTTTTTTCTTTCCTTACTTAACATCCTGAAGTTTTGTGAGTTTTTCATTTATATAAGTGAAAATTTTCGGTATGTGTCTAAAGGCTAAATTACGTCCTACTGGCAATTTTATGAGTTCCTCTTGCACTACATTCCCATCAATACTTGGTATATCAGAAATTTTTGTTTTTTAGCCCTAGGTGTTCGATGTCTTTTCACATCTTAGTTTATTTTGTTTTAAGGAGATTGGTGCTCTTTTATGCCACAAAAGTTTAATATTACATTTGAAAATGGCTGACATGCGTTCTTCCTTTCACATTTTTGCCCTTTGTCTGTTACCCCTTTTACTTACCTTCCTTCTTCTGATTTTATCTTCCCCTCCCTCTCTTCTCCTTCAGGCACAATGATGGTTAAGAACCCAGCCTCTGGAGCCAGACTATCTAGGATCAAATCTGAGCTCTGACACGTGTTAAGACTTTGGACATATCCTGTACCTCTGTCTGCCTTAGTTTCTTCCTGTCAAATGGGGATACTATTTCAGTGTTGTGAGGAGGTGTAGTGAAGGAAGCCTGTGAATGGCAGTCTTCACAGGGGGTGAATATGTCTGGAATAGGTATGGCATCCCCCGAGAGAAAGCAGCTTTGGTAAAACAAAGGTTGACTGTTGGGGGAAACATCAGTTACCTCTGGAGCCACTGGGAATGCATGTGGGACAAAATGGATTAGATTGCTGACTTTTGGATTAAAAAAATTTTTTTTTTAATGTTTTATTTATTTTTGAGACAGAGATAGGGACAGTGTGAGCAGGGGAGGGTCAGAGAGAGAGGGAGATACAGAATCTGAAGACAGGCTCCAGGCTCTGAGCTAGCTGTCAGCACAGAGCCTGACGTGGGGCTCAAACCCACAAACTGTGAGATCATGACCTGAGCCGAAGTCGGACGCTTAGCTGACTGAGCCACCCAGGTGTCCCTGATTTTTGAATTTTAAAGTTTAGTGGAAAGACCATCATTAAATAATCACAATATACGATTGTGCTAACTATTATAAAGAGCTATGAGGATGTATAATAGAAAGGTCTGATGTGGTCTGGGGAGTCAAGGAAGGCTCTGTGGAGGAAAGGACTTCAAGCCATTCTATTTACCATGTGGAGCACAATCCAAGCATATAGTTTATATGTGTCTCTGCTGCAATTTTGTACATGCGGTGTACACAGAAAACAATAATTGAACTTTGTTTGCACCTCCTGATTGTCTAGAGTGTCCTCTTAGTCTTACTAATTTGTGTGAATCCTCTCCACCGATCTTTTTTACATCTGGGTCGCTGACTGTTATATAATCTTTGTTTTTGTTTTTGTTAGTCCTTTACAGTCAGGCTTTCTAGGTAACTCTCCTGCTTATCTAGAAGTATAATCCATCCTCTGCAAGTGTTTGTCACTGACAGCATAATTGCTCATCCGATTTTCTTTCTGTGAGCCAACTTCGTAGTATTGTCTAAGAATTTTATTGTTTGAGGGTATCCCCCCTTCTACCTTTGTTCTAATTATAAGTTTATATGAAATTTAAATATAAATAGATTTATATGAAATTATAAATTTAATGAAATCTATATATTTGATCTAGCATATAATGACCAAAAAAACAAAAACAAAAAAAAAACCTGTCTAAGGAAACATTATTCTGAGAGAATTAAAAAAAAAAAGTTCATAAATAAACAATTAGCCATTCTTTATTCATTCAGCAAACATACGGTGCTAATTAGGTGCCAACCAGCATTCTGGAAAAGAAATTACTTTGTGGTACACAGTAGTTGCCTTAAACAATATCACTTTATGCAATGGGGATGAGAAGGGAGAATTGTGATGATTGGCAAGATTAACATGGAGACCTGTCTTGACTAAACCTTTTTTTGCTGTAAGTCAGTAAAATCTAACAACTGAATTCCTTGTCTCTTTCTAAGCCCTATGGCCCTGCCCCCTGCTTGAACTTAAATGGAGTTTCTGAGAATTTTATCTAGAATAGGCATCCTGTGATGAATTCATTTTACTTAGAGGCAATTCATTTAACTGATGCATTGAGTGAAATATGCAAGCGTTTTAATCTTGCGTGATATGTGTAGGGGCATTCAAATAGTAAATTCAAGTAATTAAAAATAATGAAAAAATGCATGTTGCCATTTTTATTTCCTTATAAAAATCACTGGTAAATTAATTAGTTGCAAAGTAGTGATTATAAAAATTTTCAAAAAGTAAAGCTGTTGATAGCACATGGCCTCTCAGAGAAAGGTTAATTTTAAAAATATAGCTCATTATTTCTGAAATGCTTTATTTAGTATTTTAATTTTACTTAAAATGACATTTGAAGTATAATTATCATTTTGGAAGAAATTAAGGATTAAGTTTAAGAGGTTGATTTGCCTGGGAATTATATTAGTCACTAATGAAATGCTTTAAAAATTTCCTTTCAGTGTTGTTGATGTATTTAGAAAAAAGGAATATGATGCAGCAGTTAAAATCCAGAGCTGGTTTCGAGGCTGTCGAGTTCGGGCATATCTCAGGTATTTGATTTTGTCATGGAAACGTAAGATACTTCATAAAAATTTACTGCTTAGAAAATCTAATTTATTCATGCAAGTGCTCATTGCAAATAATCTTTTATTTTACTTGTAATGAAGTTAATAAGTTATATGATGCCCTTCTGGTCTTTTCTTATATGTCAAAAGACTAAATTATATTGACCATACCTCTGCTTTAAAAAATTCTCAACATCCTCAATATACTTGATTAGATTCTTTTCTTCAAATTCCACAGGATGTGACAAATGACTGGACTGGTATTTATAGGAATGAATTCACTGACTGCTAAGAAAGCAAAAACAAAACAAAACAAAGCAAAGCAAAAAGGAAGTGATTCCAATCCTCCCCAACATATTGATAGGTAAAGGCAAATGATGCCGGATGCTGCCATGCTATAAAGAGACTGAAACTGATCCCTATCTTAACAGTTCTCACTTTTTCTTCAGTGCTCAAACTTCCCTTTTGTCTCTCACGATTCCAAAACGTACCGCCCTGGATAAGGTGGAGGAAGAAAATTCCTCGTACATAATAACTCACTCAGATGGCGAGCTGGGAATTATGCTGTGTATCTAGCTTCTATTAGCTAGTAGGAGCCAGACTTGCAGATTTAGGTACAAATATGAGGTTTCTCTTTCGGGCACTGTACAAACTAGGAACATGGTGGCAAAGAGACTATTTTTCTTAATTGAGCAGATTAACAGGATATTAGCTTGGATTGACTGTGTAATATAAGTATGAAAGAGGAAGTGTCTCTTGACCCCGAGAATTATTTCTAAGTACTTAGAGTGACTCACATCAATAATGCCTGGCTTATGTCTCAACATGGTCCTTTGACCAGTTTTACAGTCTTAACATTCAGAAATATTTCTGAGAATTAGTTCTGAATAACTGAAATTTACAAATGTCTAATCATAAGCCCAAGAGGAATACTGAATATTTATCTCTGCCTTTTTTCTACCTCAAGAAATGGTGAATTCTACTACAGAATGATAGTTCTACTCTTTAAAAGTGCACATCAATGTGACTTTGAATTTGATTTCTTGAATTATAGAAAGGAATAGTCTAAGAAAAAATTTAAGAGAGAATCTGATTCAAGGAAAGCATGCTAATAAGTGTATATTTTACACAGGCATTTACACAGAATAGCGACTGCTATTCAAAAATGGTGGAGAGGTTACTCAGGCAGACAACATTATCAACTAATTGTGAAGGTAAATATCACAAAATTTTTATATATTAGCATTTGAATCATAGTATGCTGTTAACTTACTCGCTTCAGTCATATTTACATGCAGTTTCGAAGTTATTGGTAATAAATATTTATGTAAGAACAAAATTGTGTTTAAATTTTGGAATGAGACCTCTTCTGAGAAGCCTTTTCTGATTTTCCATGGAAAATTAAGGACTCATGGGGCACCTGGGTGGCTCAGTCGGTTGAGTGTCTGAATCTCAATTTTAGCTCAGATCAGGATCTGGCAGGTTTGTGGGATTGAGCCATGCTTCAGGCTCTGGGCTCATGGTGCAAAGTCTGCTTCGGATTCTCTCTCCCTGTCTCTGCCCCTCCTCTGCTTTCTTCTCTCTCTCTCTCTCTCAATAAATAAACATGTAAAAAAAAGAGTTAATGACTCATTTCTTTGTACCCAAACTACAAGAGATATTTTATTGTTAAAGTGCCTTTCACAGTGCATGCACTTATTTGGACTTACTTATTGATGATTTCCTCCAGTGTCTAGATGGTGAGATCTTTCCAAGTAGGCAGAGAAGCCTGTTCATTTTCGGACAGTCCACCTCTAGACTAATTCCTCTTCCATACACAGTCAATAAACATTTATTGAATTGAAGTGCCCAAAATCAATTCTACAAAATATAAAAATAAGGCAGTTTCTCTCTGTGCTGCTTACCCTTGACAATTACTGGCTGTTGAGATATTTTGAAAATTTGCCTTAAGAAATGTAGTATATACCACAACCATCTCTATCCTTTGATAGACTTGTGGATGTAACTGATAGCATGCCAACATACTCTTCATTCAGCTAAGACTTACAGGGAATGAAGAAACAATTAAAAAAATTTAATGTTTATTTGTGAGAGATATAAGTAGGGTATGAGTGGGAGAGGGGCAGAGAGAGAAAGAAACACAGAATCCTAAGCAGGCTCCAGGCGCTGAGCTGTCAGCACTGAGCCCGATGCGGGGCTTGAACCCACGAACTGTGAGATCATGACCTGAGCCGAAGTCGAAGACTTAACTGACCGAACCACTCAGTCACCCCAGAAAAAAAAATTTTTGATACAAAATGAGAAAGGTTTTAATCAGTGCTACTTCTTTTATTTTTTGGTTTGTTACTGTTTTCTATTGTGATTGTTTATTTTTAATTTATTCTTGATTCGTTGCATCTAAGTGAAATTAAAAGATGTAAATAGGAAAAGAAAAGAATAAGTAGATAAGTAAATAATAAGCATTCACCTTTAGTGAAAAAATAATTAAAACAGGTTAATAAAATACAGGAACTGCTAGGAAAAAGAGCCTACTATTTTAGATTTGATTATTCAAACAATTCTGCCATGAACTTTTTGTAAATGTTGCATCTCTCTTAGCCAGTTTCAAATCACAGTGATGCTCTTACAAAGCAGATCTGATGTCCTATACAAATTTTTGTTCTCCACAGTTAACCTTCTTTTAACATCATCACCTCCCTTGTTAGGACCTTTCCTCTATACATTACTGTTCATTCATTTTATCATTACTTGATAATCCTATTCATTGGTGAAAATGCTTATTCAACACATTTATGAGCTAAACGTAAAAGATAGTCACTTAGGACCCTACACCTGCACGTATTTCATGATAACTTCTCTAAATAACATGATTTTCTCTAGTTACGTCTCTATGCTTTCTTTTACCAGTACGGTATGTTCCCAGTTAATTAATATACATTACTTAAGTTCTTAAAATCCCACCAAAAGACAAGTTTGTTCTTTTAGTTCAGCTGATTAAATAAGCCCATTCTCCTGTCTGTAAAAATGTAAAGTGCCTCTCTTCTAGTCCCATTAGTTGTTGGCATGGGTTTCCTGTCTGGAACACTAATCTCTTACATCATTGACATTTCAGACTGCTTACAGAGTAACTTTTAAAAGTATTTATTTGTTTTTGGGAGAGCACAAGCAAGGGAGGGCAGAGAGAGGGGGACAGAGGATCTGAAGTGGGCTCTGTGCTGACAGGCTGAAGCAGCAAGCCCAGTGTGAGGCTCCAACTCATGAACTGTGAGATCCTGACCCGAGCCAAAGTTGGATGCTCAACCGATTGAGCCACTCAAGTGCCCCAAAAAATTAATTTTTTAATTTTTGAATAATTTCAGATTTACAGAAAGGTTGCAAGAATAGTACAAAGAATTCTCATATATTCTTTGCTTTATCATTTTCTCTCTTCTCTCTCTCCCTACATGGTTTGTTTGTTTGCTTTTGTCTTTTTTCTCTATGAATACATATTGTTCGTTATTTTGAATCAATTGGGACAAAGTTGCAGAAGTGATGCCCTTTACCTCTAGGTTTTTGAGTGGGTGTTTTCTACCATAAACATATTAAAATGATCAGAATCAGGAACCCATTATCTGTATAATGCTATTATTTAATCTATACACTCTCTTCATATTTCAGTGATTGTGCCAATAATGTCATTAATAGTAAAAACATCTTTTCTTGGATGTTACATTGTGCTTATTGTTATGTTTCTTTAGTCACTTTAATGTGCTTTGTCTGTGGTTTCCTATCATGACTTTGATGGTTTTGAAGAGTTTAAACTATTTTTGTATTATTTCTCAATTTTGGTTTAATTATGTTTCTTTATTGTTAAGATTGAAGTTATGCATTTTTATCAGAAATACATCTCAATACATCATATTAGGAACATGATGTCAGTTGGTTCCATGACAGCTGATGCTAACTTTGATACTTTGAAGTGGAGTCACTCACACTATAAATTTATTTTATCTTATGAGAGGATATTTCAAGACTGTGTATACATGTGTGTGTGTGTGTGTGTGTATGTGTGTGTGTATATATATCTTTTTTCTGATCAAGCTTTTTTATACTAGGTTTAGCAATGATGGCTTTGGCCAGAATCAATTTTTATATTTGTCAAACAGCAATTTTCTAACTCTGTCATTTCTTCTACATTTACTTGTTAGCATATTAGTATAAGAAATTGCCTTTTATTGTCCTATTTTTAAAAAGTATTTATATCAGTATGAACTTAATGGATTCCTGTTTTTACTCAATGGGTTATAATAAATTACTATCACTGATTGGTTCAGTGCTCAAATTGTCCAGAATTGGCCAGCAGAAGCTCTGTCAAACCAACTGTTAATAGGATCAGATTACTTAAATGGGATGATCAAAAAATTGAGGTTATTTTTTTTTTTTATGGAGTGCTGAGTGGTCTTTAGCTCCATTATTCATTAGTGGTTGAGGATCTGTATCAATGTATAGACCAGGCAATAAAGTAGACATATACATATGGCGTTCCATGAGCCTTACTGACTTCATTTCCACTCCTGTAATTTCTACTCACAAGCCACTACTCAGAAGGTGATAAATTATTGAGACATCTTTTAAATCAAATATACAAGAGTATAAACATTTCAGTGATTATTGTGAAGTATTCATCTAGGGAATCTATATTCTAATGATGCTGGAGTTGCTGAAAAAATATTTTTAAAAATTCATATAATGAGCCATTCTAGAAAATGTGGCTAGTTATTTTAGTGTCTTAACTGAGTTTGATCAAAAAGAGTAGCACTCATGGGGCACCTGGATAGCTCAGTTGGTTAAACATCTGACTTCGGCTCAAGTCATGATCTCATTGTCTGTGAGTTGGAGCCCCACATCGAGGTCAGCAAAGAGCCTTGAACCTGCTTTGGATTCTGTGTCTCCCTCTCTTCTCCTCCCCAACTCGTGCTCTCTCTCTCTCTTAAAAACAAATAAACTATATATTTTTTTAAAGAGTATCACTCAGCATGATCACTAAGTTATTCTCCAGGTTTGGATCCAATTATCTTTGAGCTCTTGGGGGAGGGGTGGAAAGATGAGATTTTCCTCATTTAAATTGGTTCTTGATGGTTTTTAAGTCTCTTAAGCTGTGAGCTATTTTAGAACAAGTCTGTTTTATTTATCTATTTTTGCCATTATGTACAGAGTACGTAACATAAGGATCTCAAATAACATAATCAAATCTCAGTAAGTAATTATTGAATGATATTAACATAGCTGCCATTTACTGATTGAAAAGTATGACTAAAATATTGTAGTAAGCATTTTACATATTTATTGTATGTACCACCTAAAGTCTGAAACCAGTCCTAGGAATATCATCATCATTTTATTGATGAAGAATTTTAGTCGTAGAGGTAGTTATTTCCCCAAGGACATATTGCTACTGATTAAGTGGTTTGATGTGATTCTAAAACCAGTAAGTATTGAGTTGGCAGGCAATTGAAGTTCAGTTCATTATTGGAGATTTCCCTCCTTTGGCTTATACAGAAGTCCATGAGGCTTAAGTAGTGCTAACATACCAGAGATCCCCACCTTTGTGGAGCCTTCATTCGGAGGAGGTCCATTGTCCTACTCCATGTATTTGATCTCTCAGGGTTCATCCTTTGAGATCTCTATGGTTAGTGGGCCACATGGAGGGAATGGGAATTTTTCTTAGAGGCCATATCCCGATATCCTTAGTACTTTGAGTCCTGTCTCTTCCACAGCTGCCACCAAGTTTATTCCTAGAGTTTTGGGCACTTCCCAGAAGCATTAGGAATGCCAAATGTTGTATTCCTTATTTCAAAAAGCTAATGCCCAGCTCCTTCCCAGGCATGTGGAATCTTTGCTCCTTTATTTCTCTTTCTCTGCTCACACCTCTCCTCTTACCCCTCTCTACCATTCTAGGAAAGCAAAGCTAGGTAGAGAGAGACAGTTAATAGTACACACTGTCACACACAGTCTGTTGTATCTATGTTTAAATCATTTCCCACATTTATTCTGCATATTTCTGGGCTAATAGCTATATACAATAATAACAATACCATATAGTACATGATTAAGTGATAAAATGAGTGATAGAGATAAGTGATTTTAAAACTTTAGTAACAGAACTCCTCCCTCACTAAAATTTTAGCAAAATTTTTAGCTCCATATGTAAAACAGGTGTAAGCAGTGCAGCTGT